AAAGGCATCAATTCTTTTTCTATCATCCCTATTCACTGTCCAACTCTCTGATGCTTAGCACGTAAGTGCAAACACTATAGCCTGGATCAGTTGCACCTTAGTCTCCAGCCTGATGTTGTTGCTCTTCAGTACTCTTGAGAGGTCCCTCACAGCTAATTTTCCCAATGCAATTCATCTCTTTATTTCCTGGCTGCTGTTACCCAGAGTGTTGACTGTGCAGCCAAGTAAACTAAAACTGTTAACTCTCCCAATCTCTTCACCATCCACACTGTTGCTGCCAATTGGCCAAGTGGTAAGAATCTTTGTTTTCTTGATGTTGAGCTTCAATCCATATTGAAGGCTGCAGTCCTTGACCTTCTGCAGCAAGCGCTTCAGGTCTTCCTCAGTTTCAGCAAGCAGGATTGTGTCATCTTCATAACACAGATTGTTGATGAATTTACCTCCAGACCTGATGCCACACTTTTCATAGACCCCAGCCTCCTAGATAATCTGTTCTGCATATGGATTGAAAAGATATGGAGATAGGACACATCCTTGACTCATACCTTTTCCAATTTTGAACCAATGACTAGTAACTAAAAGATAGAGAAATTTGTCAAAATGGCATGGTAAAAAGGAAACCTTTTTTTTTTAAAATGGGCACAATTACACACAGATACACAGCCCTATCAGTCTGTAAAATGCTAGTTGAAATAACAAAGAAGTATTACTGTACATTTATCAAAATAGCTAAAATTAAAATAATGACAACACTAAACATTAATATGGATATGGAGAAACTAAGCCACTCATTCATTGCTGGTGGGAATGAAAAATGGTGCAACTACTCCAGAAAACAATTTGGCACCAAACATGAAACTATCAAATGACTCAGCTATTGCACTCCTAGCATTTAACACAGAAGAACGATGATTATGTGCATTCAAAAGAATGTGCATTAATAATTATATTGGCTTTATTTATAATAGACAGAATCTGGAAACAACTTTTTATTGGATGAATGGATAAACAAACTGATATATAAATACTATGAAATTATATCACTCAGCAACAGAAAGGGATAAACTATTGCTTATCCAGAGCAATCCTGACAAATTTTGAGAATCATCCTAAGTAAAACAAACAAAAGAATCCAAAAATCTACATACTAAATGCTTAAATTTACATTTTTCAAACTGGCAAAAATGTAGACATGATAAACAGAGTAATAGCCAAGAATTAAGGAGAAGTGAGGGTAAAGAAGGGAAGTTGATTTGACAATAAATAGAGAGTGTAAAGAATTTGTGAGGTCCTAGAAATGTTCTATATCTTGAGTACAACAATGCCTATATTCTGGTTGTGATTCTATATTGCAAAATTGATACCAGGCAAAGGATACAGAGATGTAGCTATTATTTCTCTATTAATTAAACATACATTCATGAATGAATCTATAATTAACCTAGAAATAAAAAGCTTACTTGAAAAGAGTTGAAATGTGATTTTTGTTACTAATTTGCAGATGGAAGCATATGTTACTTAAAAGACCCAATGAGCAGTACAGGATTCGGGTCCTCTGACTCCACGTCAGCTGTAAAGATATTACTGTATCCATTGTGCATCATGAACTATGGAAGGTATTTTGTAAAGAAGAGTAAGATACTTCTCCTGTCCCTAAAGGGCTCACAGCCCAGTAGGGGAGATTGAAAACTAGACTTTTAACCACAATATATGGTAATAAGTACTAAGAGGAGTAGAAAGGGACAAAGATGACATTTGTGCTGCATAATGAGAAATCAATAGGAGCCCAAGAGAGAGAGATGGAAAGGAAGTGTGTGTTTTCAGTACAGAAAACATCATTCATAAAATCAGAGAAGAATACAAGAGAAAGGCTTGTTTGAGGTTGTAACATGCCTGAAAGGAAGGGAATGTGGAATGGGGTGCGCAGAAAATGGGGCCAAAGAGCTAAAGCTGGAAGAAAAAATGTAATCCAACATGAGTTTTGAAAATTATGCTAAAAGAACGCTTCTTGTGGCAGGGCAGGTCTTAGAAATGTTTCTTTCTCCTGCTTTTGTTTTTATTTTTGCTGATTACAAAAGCAATTCACAGTGCAATGAGGCAATCAGAGAAATAAAGGGCGTTCACAGTGGAAAGGAAAAAGTAAAACTGTTTTTCACAAACAGCATGATACTAAGAAAACACTAAAGAACCCACAAAAAAGCCACTCAAACGAACAAATGAGTTCCAGAAAGCCACAGTTCTACATTTATATTTCTATATAATTATATGTAATACAAAAAATTAAAGTATAATGAAGAACTAAAAAATGAAAATAAGAAAACAATTTTGTTTACATTAACATAAAAAAGAATTAAATTCCTAAGAAGAGATTTAAACAAAGAAATGAAAGACATGACATCGAAAATGATAATAAAACTGACAGCAGTTAGAAAGCTAAATATGAGCAGATTTTGCATATTTACTAATTGGAAGACTGTATATGAGGAAGATGACAATTCCTTCCCAGCTGATCTAAAACTTGACACATTCTTTTCAAAATTTCAACAGTTTTTTTTTGCAGAAATTGTCAAACTAATATTAACAAAATTATATGATTTAAAAAAATGACTGAGAAACGGGATAAATAATGTATACTGCATTGAAACAAATGAGGGAGAGAACTGTTTAAAAGGGATAAATGATTAGGTATTATTGTCATGAGGAGTCCAGAATGAAGGCTCCATAATGGAGTAGACTTGGTGGGAGGGATTGTATAACAATGAAAGAATTTTTCTTTTACTTTTCAAAGAGAAGAACTAGCTGGAGGGGAGGGGTGGGCAGGGAGAAAAGTGCCACAATAAATGAATGGAGACCCTAAAAGTCTGTAAATTTTCATTAAAATTAATTAAAAAGATTATTATTTCTAGTAATCTAGACATTCAAGACAATATGATATTGGCATGTTGTTAGATGTTATCCAGTTGACCTCAACGTGAGAGTCTCTACTACAACAGAATGAAATCCTTCCCAAACGACGCCACCCTCACAATCTCTGCTATGCTTACACCTATTGCAACCACTGTGTCAATCTATCTCATTGAAGGTCTTCCACTCCTTGACTGACCCTCTACTTTGCCAGGAACGAAGTCCTTTTCCAAAGATTGGTTCCTCTTGAATGCTTGTTCAAGATATGTGAGACAAAGTCTCACCATCTTTGCTTCCAAGGAGCTCTGGCTGCATTTCCTCCAAGACAGATTGGATAGACATATAGATCAATTTAAAAATACAACAGCCCAAAGGTTCATCAGCAAATAACTGGATTAAGAAATCATCCTTCATTCATAAGATGGAATACTAGGCAGCATTCATGAGCAATGATTGTGAAAAATATTATATAGCATGGGAGAGGTTAGAGAGCATTATGGTGAATGAACTAAGTCAGGTACATGAGAACAAATGCTGTATAAGGCCATAATTGTAAAAGCAGAAGGACAACCAGTAAGATGTGTATTGATATCCAAAGAAGGAAAGGGAAGGGTGGAAACCCTGCCTGTGTGTCAAAGGCAGTGGGCACCCCTGACTTCCAGGTGCCATGGCCTTCAGGAGGCAAGCTTTACTTACACTCTGAGAGAGATCCATCGTGTTCCCCGCATTGCTGTAATGATCCACCTCCAGAGCCACAATTTTCCCAGTCTTCATGAAGCCAACCTGATAAGGGGGGAGGGGGAGGGGGGGGGAAGGGGTTTTGGTTTTGGGGGGGGGGGGGAGGGGGGAGGGGGGAGAGGGGAAGAGAGAGAATGATTTCTCAAACGCCACTTCTCTCTGACTCTAGCTAATCCTCCCTTCCCACTGAGACTAGCTGGAGGAAGTAAAAAGAACAGGAGATCACGGAGGACCAGAACCAGCCAGGTGTAGAGAAGAGATGCTAGCTGTTGTGCCCTAGGCTCTTCCATGCTGACACCCCTCTCTGCACTCATTTTTCCCTCTGCGTACTCTGACTCTGGTTCTGAGAGTGGGAACATGGAAGAAAAAAGGAGAAAGGAAGTCTAGACAGAGCAGGGAAGGGAGAAATTGGGGGGAAGGTTAGAAAAGGATTGCCCTCACAGCATTTGGCCAAGAAAAGGCAGGAGTTACACTTGTCAAGATACTGGATGGGTTTCACATTCCTGACCATAGAAAACCATCACAACCTTTTACAAGGGTTACAAGCAATGAAGCTGAGACTTTCAAAGATTAAATTCCTCTCTTTGGACACACAGAATTTGAGGATAAGAGAAATACTGGCCCCTACACCCATGGTGGACAGTGTTTGGTGAAGCTCCCCTATTAAAACAAGCTTGGTAGCAGGAGTGGCATCCACTTCCATAATAGCTTGCCTCTGGAAACCTTATGAACCTGGAGAAAGGACGAAAGTTATACACAGGGTGCTCAGGACATCATTCATAGGGTCACTATGAGTTGCCTGCATCTCGACGGCGCTTAACAACAACAACTACAACATCCCTTTCAGGGAGTTAAATCAATCAAGAGGTAAATCCAGTGCAGGTACAAGGGGAGGTGTTAAAAGCATGGTTCTCACGAGAGGAGAAGGCTCCTAGCTGAGGCATACAAGGCTGACAGCTGCGAAGAAGGGTGGTTAGTACAGGGATTTGCCTTCCACCAAAGCCCAGAAAGGAGTCTCCCACCAGGTAATTTGGCCAGCACTCAGCCTTCATGTACTGTTGACCTCACAAGCTGTGTTTTCCAAGCCCTAGGGAAGTTTAATTTCTCATCGTAAATTATTAAGTGGTCAATCTGATTTTTACATTGGACTGTGAACATGGTCACCTTAAAGTTCCCTAATAGATTTAGTCTAAATCTGCTGCCCCTCATGCTCTGGAGTCTGACCAGATCCCAGGAAAGTCACAGAAGGAATGGACACTGACATCTCTTGGGTTGTGGTCCACCAGCCTCCCAGCACTACCCCTTTGTCCAGGGCCTACTTGAGTTTCCCTCATCACTACTTTTCTTTGAACTTCTACAGACATTCATGCAAAGAATAAGAATGCAGCCGAGGGTCCTTGTGCCTTTCAGCCCAGGTCCTCCCACCCTTATATTTGAACCTTGTATCGGGCCAAGAAGGGATGTCTGCCACCGGTTATCAGCATGTCCTCATCACGGTCCAGCATGCATCGCACGGGGCAGCCAGTCCTGAGGGAGGATCCACAGGTTAAATGCCATTCTATAACAGCCCAGCCGTGTAGATCTCGGGGTAAACAGTATGATGCTTTGATGTCTAAGCATTGTGCTAAACCCAGGAAGGAAATAAAGATAAAAGGCATGCCTTTACCTTTGGGATCTCACAGCCAGACTGGGCAGATGAGCTGTTGGCATATGGACCAGAACACGAAGATTAAATAGTTGAGTGACCTGACTGACAGTGTTCTGTCCAGAAAACCAAAACTGGCAACTCTTGTGTAGATTCTAACTCATTTTGAGCACATATATCTCAGGAGACCTGTGTTTGTAAGGTTTTTGGTGACTGATATTTTTCAGACGTACATCACCAGAGTTTTCTTTCGAGGAGTCTCTGGATGGACTCAAACCTCCAACCTTTCTGTAAGCAGTGAGAGCATTAATTGTTTATACTACTCAGAGATTGCCCCTGCACTGTTCTAAAAATAAAGAGTTCTGAGAATTCAAAGCAAGAGGAAACATCTTCCGAAAGGGGAAAACCCAGAGGGCTTTTCCAGCACAGCTGGCCCTGCTCCGGGGCTGCTGGGGAAAGTGGGGGTTGGAACTCACTTGTGTGCAGCCAGGGCCACTGCTGTGGACACCACGGTGCTGCGTGTCTCCTTCCCGCCAAAGCCGCCTCCCATTCTCTTCACTCGAACCACAATCCGGTTTTCCGGAACCCCCAACATCTTTGCAACAAAGCTCTGTGATCAAAGGAAAAAAAACACCATTATTGGATGCATCGAATCTCTTTCAGGCCAGGAGGGTAGGCTGGCTTTAGTTAGTTATTGTGAGAATTCAGAAACTCTTTGGGGCCCAGCCCTCATCAGTCACTGCAGACTGAACTCAGACTCTTGTTTTCCACCAGAAGACTGGTCATAGTGCACTTTGAAAGCCAGAACTCACTCCATCTCGCTGGGCCAGCAGAGTGTGTCAGAAGGCAGGGCACTAGCAGCTGCTGTTAAATTACACTTACTACAGATTTGGGGGCCATTCGAGTTAGAAATCATTTAATGTCCTTGTGGACTTTGCCACAGCCATACAGCACCAGAACGAAGCTGCCTAACTCCTACCTGGCTCTAGTCCAAGCATTGAAATCAATCTAATTCACACTGCAGCCCTCACTTGAAACTAAGGCTTCAAGACTGACTAACCAGCTCAGTGGTATCAGCTTACTGGTGTCAGAGCTGGCTTCAAGTCTGTGCCCTCACCCCAGTACTTACTGCTGCTGGGACCAGCTAATTCACTCTCTTCCCATCCTCCATACTACTGTTTCTGATCTGTAAGGAGCTCCCAAGTGCCCTTCCCAGACCCTCGCTGACCCGCAAGGTCTCTACCTGGGTCTTCATGGTGTTCTGTGTGGAAACAAAGAGCTCCATTTCTCCTTCCTCGCCTTTTGGGACAGCAATGGTGCACTGGGTCTCCAGGTAGAAGTGTTCTTGGCCACCAATATACAACTCACCTAGGGAAGCAGAGAGACACCGCCACCTTGAGCCACTGTCAAAGAAGGCATCAATCTGCTCAAGGAGAGAGTGTACTTTGCCAACAGATCAAGAGCAATTGGCTGTTTCCATAACTGGGATGGAAAGGGCTGTAGGCATAGCCATCTGAAAGCAGAGGATCCTCCACAAACAACAACAAAAATGGTATTGAGATGCATCTGGACTCGCTCTCTTCTCATTTCAGCCAGATGATAGATAGATAGATAGATAGATAGATAGATAGATAGATAGATAGATAGATAGATAACTTTTAAAAGCTATCATTGTGAGATATTGGAAAGATTAAGGCAGGAATGAATAGATAAGTGTACAAGATATAAAACAATATTCTTCAATTACGAAAGCTATCAGGTATGTTGGAGAAGTAGGCTGACTTAGTGCAATGTGGGCTTATACGTGACTGAGTCACTGACTGAACAATGAATGCACAGCAGACAATCTAGAAGAAAGTTTCAGGGGAGGGTAGTGTCCTGGGATGACAGCCATCGACCTTGTGTCACAGTATCAGAGAAAAAGGAAACTTGGGGAGAAGGAGTAAGGGCTAACTGGGCATCAATAAGTAAGGACTATCTTCTAGCAGATGGTAAGAGGCTAGAAGTCTGTGTGGTGAGAGACATGACAGGCTCAGGTTTGGTCAGGCTGCAGCAGCCATTAAAACAGCTGGAAACAACTCCTTGACAGTTTTCTAGATCTGAACGCTCTGCCACCTTTTAAGAGTTACTTAAGTATATGCAGCCCTGAGGCAGGAAAATGGAGTTAAGAGAACTGAAGCTCTTTCTCAGCCAACTACCTACTTGTTGTTCTGTGCAATCTAGTCAGAATCAATCCATAGCTGACGCTCCAGTGGGTTTTCAGAGGCAAGATATGCACAGAAAGGGATTGTCTATCTTTCTCTTTTGGACTAGTTGGTGGATTTGAACCATGTGCCTTCAGGTTGACACTGCAGCTCCTTACCAGTAGGCCACCAGAGCTTCCTAACTATGAACTATTTTGTTATAAACAAGAAATACATGGAGAGGAACTCTGTATGTATTGAATTGTGTCCCTCTTCCTTGTGTTTGTAATGCCACCATACATCTGTACTACAATCCCACTTGTTATGTAGAGAACTTTGGTGGCCTAGTGGTGAGGAACTCTGCTGCAATTGCAAAGGCAGTGCATCAAATTGAACTTCTCCATGGGAGAAGCATGGATAATCTCCTCCTGTACAATTTACTATCTCTGAAAACCTGCTGGAGGGTCAGCTAGAGAGTGAGCTATGTGTCGATTACAACTCAACAGCACACAAAACCAACAGTATAGTTTGTGCTTTTAAAACAATCACTTTTTTCTTTTTTATTATTATTATTAATTTTAATGAAAATTTACAGAGACTTTGGATTTCCATTCGTTCACTGTTGTAATTTTCTCCCTCCCCCACCCCACCGCAGTTGATTCTTCACTTTGAAAAATAAAAGAAAAATTCTTTCATTGTTATACAGTCCCTCCCCCCAGGTCCATTCCACTATGCAGCCTTCGCTCTGGACTCCTGTCATGACAAAAATACCTAATCACATATCCCTTTTTTAAACAGTTCTCTCCCTCATCTGTTTCAATGAAGTATTCATAATTTATCCCATCTTTCTCAGTCTCTCCCCAAACCTGATGTCAGTTCCATTTTACAACAGTGGTACTGTCACTTTTGAGATACACAAGGAGTAGATTTAGGCACAGTTGTGAAAAGACAGACGTCACGCCACATGAATGAAGGAACTAAGGAATAAAACTGTAAAGAAACAAGGACCTTGCCCTATAGTCGACTGAGACAAAGCCTTCCCCTACAACCAGATCCCTGAATTCAGCCTTTAACCTTCTAAACTGTGAGAAAAGAAACTTCTGTTTGCTAAAGCCACTCACTTTCAGTATTTCCACTATAGTAGCCCAAAGAAAGGGAGCTCTGGTGGATTAGTGGTAAGAAATTGTGCTGTCTACTCAAAGGTATCAGTTTAAATCTGCCAACTGCCTCACAAGAGAAGGATGGGCAATCTCCTCCCGTGGAATTTATTTCCCCTGAAAACTCACTGGCGTGTCAGCTATGAGTCAGTTTTGACTCGACAGTACTCAACAACAGTCCGAAGAAACTCACACTCTTTCCTATATCACACCACCACTTCTCTTGTCTAGGGATCAGTGTTAATCTCTTATATTTGGTTCTAAATCCAGGAAGTCTCTCAACTATCCCATGACTGAGCCTTCCCCCTTGCTGCAGTGCAAATGTACCTGAGACAACATTATCCGCTTCCGCAAACCCCTTCTTGAGGTCTCCTTTCTCAATCTTCAGCTCAGAGCCGTAAAAGGAATTGTTCTTTATAGCATCCTAAGGACCGAAAAGCAGCTTTGGTAATTGTTGTTCAGGGCGAGGAAAAAAGGATGTCTCTGAATTGTGTCCTCTTCTCACACATGAACTTCATAAATGTTTTATACAGGATTAAAGGAAATTCTCTTGTACCCCAGGGAATCATATTCTCCTGTGCCGTCTGACGAAACAGACAACTTTAGGTCTTAAGTGGGGAAAATGGCAATAAATTCTGCCTGGTCTCAACTGGAGACTGATTATTCCTACATGCCGAGCTAGATTATTTAAAATACAGAGTTTATCACGAAGCAAAATACTTTGGGCAGAAAGGAGCTAGTTTGGTCATTGGAGAAATACGCTAAGGTCACTATGGAAAGGTTTTATAAGACCACAGAATCCCAGTACTGGAAGAGATTGAAACGCCCAAGTACCCCTGCTGCTTCCCAAAGTCTCTTTATAAAAACAAGCCAGTTGTTGTTGTTAGCCAATGTGTGTCAGAGTAGAACTATGTCCATTTCGAAGGCTGAGTTTTCAGAAATAGATGACCAAACTTTTACCCCCAAAGTACCTGTGGGTGAATTCAACCCTCCAACTTTTTTAATTAGCAGATCTGTGTTTATGAAGCTCTAGGATGACCTAATGAATATGCCTCTAGAAACAGGGGGCTCACTACTGTGCAGAAGCACCCATTCCCAGTCACCTCGATTGTGATAATGGCTGGGAGTTCTTCATAGGTGATTTTCACGCCTTGAGCTGCTCTCTGTGCGTGTTCTGGGGTGTCAGTGACCACAGCGCCAATAATGTGTCCAATACAAGTCACCTAGGCACAGAGGAAGATTATTAGAAACAATACAAAATTCCTCATAAAACAAATTACTTTGACTTGTTCAAAAAAACAACAAAAGTTCTCTGTCCTACAATTTCCTAGAAAGGCACATTTTAGGAACGGCATGAAGTCTTTTGGTTTCTTTATTAACTGGAATTCTGTGCCTTTCACAAGGGTTCAGAAACTACAGCACTGGAGTAGGAACTAAAGGTTATTAGCTCTGGTGGCCTAGTGGTGAGAAGCTGTGCTGCAATCTCAAAGGCACATAGTTCAAATCTACCAGCTGCTCCACCAGGAGAAGGATGGGCAATCTCCTCCGATGCTATAATCTCTGAATACCTGCTGGAAGGTCAGCTTTGGATCAGTTCTGACTCGATGGTACACAACAACAGTATCAGGATACCAAATGAACTGATTTTACCTCAAGGACCAATTCTGATTGTTTAGTACTGGCAGTCAGTTAAGAAGTTGGACCAGATAACGTGTGGTGATTGATGACTGGTGTCAGCCATGAGTAGAACAGGAAGAGTGGAAACATAAAGCATATCTGTCAGTTTGGATTTCCTCTAAACCTCTTGGGCTTCAGATAAAGAAATTTCAACTCAAAAAGAAAATTGGCATTGGCCAACGACTAAGTTGTGATGAGGTCTTAGGTCCTGACTCTTGAAAGATTTCTTTTAACTACGTCTTTGCTTTCATTTTCTGTTTCCCAGACTTGTACCAATTCTCAAAATTCTCAAAAGCAGCAATCATGTCTCAATGCCTCCAGAGCATTAGTCCCAAATGCTATTCAAGCTTGAAGTTTTATAAACAAAGATTTGCCCCTATCCCCTGGATGTTTAGAATAATAATTACAATAATCTTATTCCCATAAAGCTTAATGGGTTTTTCTCAGGGATAATTTGTTGGCCAGCATTCCTAAATAAACAGCAAAAATTGTTGTCCAACATCTTTGTAACCTGTAGTTTCTGAAAATAGGAAACAATACCTTGGTGCAAGTGTCTGATAAATAGCTCTGAAGGATGCAGCTAAGTTACACTAGGGAGCGTTGGTTAGTGGTGAGGAGTTGCATTGCCAAACCAAAGCCCAAAGCACAAGGTTCCAATCCACCAGCTGCTCCACTACAGAGGGATGGATGGGGCTTTTCCTCCCATGTGGTTTACTGCTTATGTAAATCCTCGAGAGGGGCAGCTATGGTTTGTTTCTGACTCAATGGTACACAACAACAGTTTGATTAGTGCAGTGGTTCATTGACCCAACTAGCTCTCACCAAGGGAAGACTCTCATGTTTGCAGAGCCATTGTTCTGCCTTCAAGCACTTTTATTCTGGAACCTGTGTGACTCACATTTACTGCTTTTTGTTTGTTGAATTTTTTGGAGTTGTTTGTTTGTTTCTCTTTAACTTTTACAATAGTAATAAGGTGAATTTATGTCCCTCAAAGCAACACCAACCCATTAAAAAAAAACATCAAACAAAAAAAACCAAAACCACAAACAAATAACCAAACTAAAGCCAAGCACCTCATTGCTACAGAATCAGAGCCAACTCAGAGTTAATTCACGGAAAGAGGGTGCCCATTTTTCTCTTGAGGAGCAGCTGGTGGATTTGAACTGGCAGAGAGGTGTTAATTACGGGTTAGCAGTGCAACTCTCTGTGGGCTATGCCACCAGAGCTCCTTGTTGTTATGTGTCTTCAAGTCACCTGTGACTGATAGGGACCCTATGCACAGTAGCTCTGCAGCCTACCTTGTCCTGAGCCAGTCATACTGACTCCAACACACGTATCCTCATTACCCGAGTCACTGTGTTAATCCATCTCATCTGGGGTCTTCCTCTCCTGCACTCTCTAAGGTCTGGTCCCTTCTGACAACATGCCCAAAGTAAAAGATAAGGAAATCTAACTAGCAGGTTAAGGAAACCAAAATATCACAATCTCATTTGCAACAACCAATCCGAATTGGAATTGTAAACTGACAGTCTGAATAACAATCAATATGAATAAAATATGTAGATTTTTCTAACCATTATCTTGCACATTTAGAAACTTTGAGGGGAGTGAAGGCAAAATTCCTAATAATTGAGATCAACAAAAAAACTTTCAATATGCATAGTGGTGACTTTTGGTGTCTGTTAAGTTTTGTTTAATGTATTGTCACTTTTTTAAATATAAAGGGACTTATACCCTTACTTTACCCTTACTTAATATACTTTGAGCATGTTGCTAGGAAAGGCTATTTCTTGGAGAGGGACATTGTGCCTGAAAGGTGGAGGGTCAGCTAAAGAGAGGAAGACCTTCTATCAAGTGGATTGACACAGTGACTGTCACAATGGGCTCTCGTGTGTCAGGAAGTGTGAGGACTGCACAGGACAGGGCAGTGTTGCAATCACTTGTTCATGGGGTTTCTATGGGTTGTACTCAACAGCACCTAACAACAACAACAACATTTCTTTAAGAACTAGATTGCAAATTCAAGTAAAATCACTAACCTTGCCACTTCATTATGAAGTCAACCTACTATGTGAAAACAGCAGCCATCAAATTAAATAAACAAGCAAATATTAAGTTCAAACTAAAAATGTTCTTAGGAGTATTCTGTCCCTTTCCCAGTTGGATGATGACTGCAATATGTGTAAATCTTAATCTTTTGAAGATTAAACCTTTGGCAGAATGAGTAAAAGGTGAAACTGAACCCATTTTACTTATTTGATATGGAGGAAATGAAATCCAAGACATACCTTATCTGTTGCAAAGACTGTTTCATCATTTAAAAGGCCAGTTACGTTACTCCCCGGCACATCATCAGCTGAAAGGAAGCAGACAAACCCAGGGACCTTCTGAGCTTCTGAAGTATCTATGGACCTGCAAGAAAGATCAGTGTGAAGGTCAGATGCTAAAATAAAGCAGAAAACGTGTCACCTGTTTGGACAACTCAGTCTTCATTTTGACGTCATCCACCCCACTCTAATGCCTCTTCTCTCTACTTTCTAGTCTATCCATCTGTTTTTCATTCCATGAGTAGATACCTCCTATATGATGAAAAGTGTGGCATGCTACTAAGTAACAAAGCAATGAGACAGGCCTGGCCTTATGGAGTTTGTCTTAGTCTTCAAGCAAGAAGAAATGGATTCTAGTGAGCAGCATTAATTCTGGAAAGCTCTGGATAAAACTAAGATTGCCCAGCTAACATCCACTGAAAATCAGCACATTAGGTTCTTTTTTTTAAATTTTGTACTAGCTTATTTATAAAATTTGACTATATAGTTTTCAAGAACAAATTCTTTCAATTTCCCTTACCCCCCATCCATCAAATTGTACAACCACACATTAGGTTCTTGACTGTACCATAGAGCATAATGGGCTTAAATTTCTTTTTTTATAGTTAAATTTCCCATGCCTTATTAATGGGGTCACTGAAGTATAGCAGGGCATCCCAGACACAATTAGGCAATACAGATGTCAAAGGGAGGAGATTGGAAGAGTCTATCAAGTAGAGCAGCTTAAAAATCTAAATCGTGTCCTGAGCACTTTGGCCAAAGTCTCACAGGGAAGTAGGACAGAGGCATCTCGGGAGAAGGTATGAAAATTGTCATGAAGTACCAACCACCTTCTGGTCAAGTCCTCACAAGAACCTTCATCAGTAGTTTTCACTTGTCCTCATTTTACACTTAGGAAATTTGAATACCTTGTCCAAAGTCACTTGGTCAGAAAGCAACACAGCTGAGGTTAGGAATGAGGTGAAGTATAAGTGGAGTCCTAGGCAGTATAAGTGGTTAACACTAACTAAAGCATTGGGGTTTGAAATTATGTAGAGATGCTTCAGAAGGAAGACCTAATTGAGAAAAATCAGCTATTGAAATTGTCATGGAGGACAGTTGTACTCTGACACTCGTGGGGTCACCAAGAGGCAGAAACAACCCATAAACAACTGTTCAAGTAGATACAAAGGGTGGCCAAGTCAGGACTGTTTCTGCTCTACCACGATGCCAGATCCCTGCAGTTGCTACAGTGTCCACCTATCCTCATACATCCACTCAGATATTGCTTGAGTGGAGCAAAGTTGTTTGCCTAGAGACTACATAGAGACTACAGAATATAACTGCAGGCATTAGTCATGATACTGATGCCGATAATACCCCAATGTGGGCTCCAATTAAAAGGAGAGTCACATGACTTGTGCCACATAACTGGCAATTAGATCAACTTAAACATACACCTTCCTCCCAACTCCCCACCCAAGAGACCTGGAAGAGTTGGTCTGTTAAGTATTATCTGCATCTGGTTCACCATTCACCTTCAGGCTAGGATGCTCAGGCAGAGAAAAAGATCACAGGTCTAGTTCCTAAAACATGCAGTTGCAAGTCCTGTGAGAAAGTTTTCCCAAGATGTCCTATGAGGAGGGTATGTGTCTCAAGCTCACTGGGTGCATCTGGAAGCAGCACAGCACAGTTACTGACAGCTCTTCAAATGCCCACTCTGCCACATAGCAGCTGCATGACACAGGGCAAGTGATACATCCTGTCTGCTCCTCAGTTTCCTCAAATCGAATATGGACAGTTGTGATAAATAACTGAGTAGACACATGTCAAATGCTTTCAAGAAGGGGTAAAATTTAAAAAAGGTAGTACAAATAACATGTGCATGTTAGTAAGGGTTGAGAATTATTGTTATTCTAGAAGCATCTGGTTAGTGTTTGCTAACTAAAGCATGGCTGTTCAAACCATTCAGAAGTTCTTGGGGGGGAACCCCACACCTAGTGATCCACGCCTCTAATAATTACAGTCAAGAAAACCCTAAAGTATCCCAGTCACAAAAGGACAAATATTACATGATGCCACTGTTGTAGAATGGGACTAACCTCG